CGTCCAGAGGTCCCAATCACAGCCGAGTCTGCTCCGGCGAACTCCTCTCCATCGCAATTGCCGATATCAGAGCTTCTCTGTCTCTCTTCCAACCTCTCGCTCCCTTTTCTCCCCAAGGTTTCGCCCTTTTCGTCGACGAGGTCAAACTCTCTCTTTCTCCTCAATTAGCTCGTAACATCCTTCTCTTTTGGCTTTGGGAAAAAAAATTTCGAACCTTTTCTCATCCTTTGGGCTGAGCTTATTCGTCGAGAAGATTCCAGAAAGTGGTTCTAGAAGGTTCTTCCAGAATAGGCAAATTTGCTTTTGCGTTTGCCGGTTCTAATGGAAATTCATTATCAAAACGCAAAGAGAGACGGTGCTGAAACTGGTCCTCGCATATTGGGTCCGCAAGAAGCTGGCATTGTCTTCCTCAGTCAGGTTTTTGTTCAGTTATGAGTTTTTTTTGTTCCTTTTGTTATATAAATTTTTCATGACTTTGATGTTATATTTCACGAATTGATTGGTGCTTTGCTTGCATGCGCTTTTTTTTGTTTGTTCCCTGACAATAATAGAGGTGCAAAACATCTTCCAACCATCAACTTTGATAAACTGTTTGCGTATGTGCCCTTCGACCTTTTTTCCTGCGTTTTCTTAAACCGTGTCATGCATGCAGTTAATAGGCAATCTGGCTTTGGATACCATAATACATTTCAGTTTGTGCATGAAGCTATTTGCTTCATTATGTTGACAGACAGTATATCTTCTTGGGAATAATTACAGCTTTTGTAGTACAGTTTGTTAGTTTAATTTTCTATTTTAACATTTTAAAAGGACAAGCTCTAAGAGGTGTTAGCTATCTAGGCTGACTTAGTTAGTTTAAAAGCACTTTTATTCTGAATCTCTGATAGGATGTCGGATGTTTGCAAAGTATGCTTGCAGTTTTGCTTTTTAACTTGTTTGAAATACTTGTGTTGGTTACTGAAAGTTAAGTTAATTTCATTGATTCCACTGTAATAAGTCCTTTGCTACAATCTGGTTTCTTCAATCAGAACAATTGTTTTGCATATTTATTTAACAAAGTTATTTTCTTTTGTAAATATGGACAATCACCAGTATTGGTCACCTATCTTCAGGTATCTGTATGAAAGCTACAGTGAAAGTCATGAAAATAAAATAAAGTGCATCATACACTATTTTGAAAGGATAAGTTCGCAGATGCCTTCAGGCTTTGTCTTGTTTGAATGAATGTTTCTTCCTTTGGAATATCATCCTTTGTGTATTTCCTGTCCCAAGGCTGATTTTTGGGGCAAACCTGCCATCCCCCTCTGCCCTTTTGAGGTAATAATTAAACAGATATATTTGTCATAATTTTTAAAAATTGGTGTATCTGTCTTGTTTACTTACATCTTTTAACTTGTGGCAATGACTTCTTGGTCTCTCTATTTTTGCAGGCTCATAGTTCAGGCTTGATAGAAGATCAGTCCAATAATGCTCTTGAAGTGGATTTTGCAAACAAGTATCTTGGAGGTGGTGCTCTGCACAGGGGCTGTGTGCAAGTATGGCATAGTCTTTTCTTTTTGTTTTTCTTTGGGATTTAGCTCAGACAATTTTCCTCTGTCCACACTTTAGTCTGCAGTCTAGGCTGCCAATTTCCAATGTATTATTGGTAACATATTACACATGTTCCATTACCATATTTTTGCATTTGCATGTGAATGCTGTTTTCCAATATTTTATGTTCTCTAATTTCATGTTCGTGGAGGCCATCCTTCTATTGAAACCTTTTTGAGTTAAATGATATGGTTGTTTCTATTATTTTCATTGGAAGAAATCCGCTTCATGGTCAATCCTGAGTTAATTGCTGGCATGCTTTTCTTGTTGTTCATGGAAGATAATGAAGCCATAGACATTGTAGGTGCAGGAAGGTTTTCTGACTATACTGGTTGAGCACTCTGCAGATAAGACATGCATCAAACTTGACGAAAGAAGTGCTACAAAATCATCTGTTGCCATAACTATTTTATTTTTCTTCTAAAATATACTTGTACCTCAAATATCATGAATATTTCAATGAATCAAATGAATAAAATGGCTATCTGATGAATCATTTTATATGGTCACATGGATATGCTAACCCTTTAAGTCAGAAAGTAGAGACCATGACATTAAAGTTATTGTTTAAGGAAGCAGTTAAAGTACATACATGGGCAGGCATTTTTTTGTTTGCTTTTGGTTTCTGATTATACTATCATTTTTTTAAAATGGTATAGGTATGCCTCTTCATTTCGTTTTACTGGTGACTACATAGACAAAAGAAATGTTGACTTTCTTGGAAGATGTAAAACCAGGATCATTGCTATTGATGCTGTATGCCACCCAAGGATGAAACAATACAAACTTAAATACCTTCTACAGTAAGTGAATCTTTGTGGACTAAAGGAGAAACTGGTTGTATACTATTTTACCCCTGTACCATGGCAATATTGATAAATGATGATTTTTATTTTAATCACAAGAAAATGGATGTAGTAAGGAGATCTAGAAAAAAGAAAAAAGAAAAAGATATACAGCCTTTTCGAAGTTGCACCCTTCCTGTAGAAGTTTAAAGTTGTTGTGAGTTGTGACACACTCCTGTGGGAATTAATCTAGGAAAATGTGTTCTTTAAGCTACATAACATGTGAATCATGTAGTTGAGATTGTAAAACCAGGTGTGGCTTGACTGATCAATGGTTCATTTATCCAACCCCCAGGGTATTTATAAACAAATATGATTACTCTCATTTTTCTTTCATTCTTCCTGTTTAATTTGTATATTTGAGTATTATTCCATTTTGTTGCTTTTGGCAGGGAGATTAATAAGGCATTCTGTCGCTTTTTGGATCAATCAAAAAGTTGTCAGCACAGGAAACTGTTTCAGGAAAATGGACTTAATGTGCTTAATCTTGATCAAGATGATAAAGATCATGATTATATATCCAGGACTAATATATTGGTACTGGTTCTTTGTTACCTTTCATCTAATGATTTTTTTTTTTTGTTATTCTAGCCATTGTTTGGTTCTCTACTGAATCATAATGGTTTTAATTTTCTTTTACACTGTTTGGCAATTTGGCTTTGGTCCTCCACAATGAATACGTATAACTAAGTTTTTCTTTTTCTAATAGTTAGATGAATCTACCTCCACTTCTCTTGAAAGGAATGAAGGAAGATACATGAACAAAAATATTAGAAATCCTGATAGTAATGGCAGTCAGTTTTTTGACCACCAAGATAGTATTGGGATTGCAACTGGAAATTGGGGCTGTGGTGCTTTTGGAGGAGATCTTGAAGTAAAGTAAAGACCATTATACAGTGGCTTGCCGCTTCACATGTATGTGTCAGTACTCCTTTAGGAGGTGTTAAATCTTATAGTGCCTGTGGCACAGAATAGGGACTTTTAGTTTTGTGCTCATATTTTGTATTTTTGTTAGATATTTCCATTAACTGCAGCACATCCCTTTCAGGCTCTAAGACCTTTCATTTCATACTACACATTCAGTCCTGAGGCATTGCAAAATGTGGATCAGGTACTCATCTTGGTTCTTGCTGATGTAGAAGCTTATTGATCATCAATGAGATTTTTCATAAAATCTCTATGGTCCTCTTTAATATTTTTTGACCCCCTACTTTAGTATAATATACATTTCACAACTGGTCAACTTATATTTATGATATTTTACAGTTAAAAATAGATAAGTTTGCATTCTTACAAAGACTTTGAGCGCATTGTTTTCCATGCCCTCTAACTTTACTTCTTATGGCAGATCACTCAATGGATTCTGTCACACAAATGGACGGTTGGGTGCCTTTGGAATATATTGGTAGAGTATTCAATCCAGAGATTCAAGGGAGAAACAAACCTGGGTTTTTTTGCTTGGCTCCTTCCTTCCCTGCCTGCCCACGAGGCTGACAGGTAGACTTGCTAAATACTGCATCAAAATACCTCATGTATTATTGAGTTGCCTTTTTATACTCAAGATTTCTTGTATTGTCTACTGAAAATGCAGCTACTTTTTCGTTTTGGTTTTTATTATTATTATTTAAAAAAAAAAAAAAAGGCTCTCTATTAGACCTGGGTGGGTTCGGTTCTCTATTATTTCGGCCTTTTCTCCTTAGATGCTTAGATGATAAAGACCTTTTACTGCAGCCAGTGTTGGACTGATAATTAGGCCTCCATTTGCCAATTCCTTATGCTCTTATTTTCCATAATTGGCTAATCATTCTCCTATACAGCTTCATCCAAGCCCCAGGAAGATAATTTTTCTGTTTGCAATTGGTGACAACCTTGTCTTTGGGCTGGCTTTTCTAACACCATGAAATGAGAACTGAAAAGGAAGAATTACCAGAGAGCAAATTTTAACCCTCTCAGGTCCCAGCAGTGGTGTCTTCCACAGTTCAAAGCTCAAATCAACCTTTCATTCCTACCAACCGGTAAGAGATGGGAAAGGTTTATTCTTGTGGTATATGCTTTATTTAGGGGAATAATTCCTTAGAATATACTCTCTTGTGTCTTGATATCTCACATCAATTGCTGTCTTACTGTATTTGTTTCCAGTTTTGCCATGAGATCAATGGTGCCGTATGCTGAAGTGAATATGTTCGTTTATGGTCATCTACTCATTCTTTTCTACCCCTCTGCAGGTGTAATGTTATGGTTAGATGACCATCAACGAACACGTTCATCACTGTATTGCATGCTCATAACTCGATATTATTATCTACTACAAATCATTCAAGGTATACATTTGTTTTGTTAATCTTCACTTAGTTTGCCATTTCATATCTTTGTTGTGTGATTTTTTTTGCACCATAGCGTGCAGTTTCAGTAAGTGAATGTTAGAAGGACATGATAATGGTGCTAATTAACTTAACCACTCATTCCAAAAATTGCATGTTTTGGAGTGAACTGAACTCTTTTATGCTTTTAAAACCGCCCTTCAGCTGTATTGCCTTCAAAAGCTTGAGCAAAGCAGCGAAACTGCCGAAGCAAGGGGGACAGTTACAACATACAACATAGCATTTCCTTTTGCTTTGGCCCTTGAAACTGGGTTTATTGCGCTGTAGGTTGATTCTATTGGGGATTTGGACTGGACCAAGGTCTCTTTGGGATCTCTGAGCCATTTTTCTCATTCATATAATTTTTTTTTGAGAATCACGTTTTTCAGGTGAGATTGCATATTAATTGTATGTTTAATTTGATAGGGACAGGGATGAAAGTTTTTCTATTTGATTAGCAAAAAATTTAGAAAGGAAGGGAGTTTATCCAAATGAGAAAAGCAAAGAGGTGGGAAGGGAAGGGAAGGGCAAGACAATCGTATCTTTTTAATCTCCTCAGCTCTTCTGTGAAAAATATAGATCAGGTATTAAAAATATAGAGTCCCAACAAAAACGACGTAATTTCTTAATCCCAGCCCCAGCCCCATCTCTTCTTCGCCCTTTTTGTAATCATCTCCATCTCCTTTAAGCCCCTTCTGCAGTCATGTTCATCATCTACAATATGAACAAAGTGCCAAACAAATTATGAGGATTGTAATGAAGGAAGCAAAGGGACCACAATTCCGGAAATGATAGGAATAAGGACCACCCAAAGCTTACTCTAAAAATAGCATTTCCCTAAATTTATGCAAAGGAAATCCAGCACCTGCTTTGCTTTATGCAACAAATAGAGAAGCAATAAAATAGAAACAAACTAACGAATAATTGGATTAAGTAGTAAGCGGCTTGTTCCAACTTAAGCATGTGTACGCAGCAACCTTCGTTGGTAGACACTCACCATTTTTAGGGTGCGCGATGTGGGTCGATCCGGATTAGTCGGGGTGAAATCCCGGATACTGGATGGGAAACCAAAAAAAAAAATAAAATAGAAACAAGAATAAAAAAAGTAAATATTTTCGCTTCAATGAATTTCTTTTTTGGTTTATGAAAAAGGAAATGGAGACAATTGCAGAGAGGGCCACAGCAGGGGCTGTGTTTTTTAGTGAAAAATTGAAAGAATTGCAGTTGTTCCCATCAATTTCATCTTGAGAAATTTACATTGAAAACTAAAAAAAA